ACTAGAAACTAAATTTAGACACCTGCAGCCATGCTCAGGCAGCATAATTAGTCGCTTATTTCTGGAAAACACTGGGTGCTCAGAACTGAATCCCATTGATATAGGTGAAGTAGTGCTGAAACTCAAGCCAGGTACAGAGAGAAATGAATATGGATTTGTGATCTAATTTGTCTTGCTATTTATGGAATAGCTAGACTCAAACTTTTGCTCACAATGGCAGAGTCTAGCATGTGTGTCAGCAGGGACAGAATCAGGGCAGAATAGGGATGTGAAAAGGATTTAAGCCCCCTCTGAAATGTCTCCAATTGCCCTTCTTCCCCCGACAGGCTGCAGAACACCCATGTCTGTCTTCAGCTCAGCCACTGGCCTGCAGAGCCAGGGAAAGGAAATTGCTGTGGCAGAGCCAGTGAGCTTTGAGGAGGTGGCTGTGTATTTCTCTGAGGAGGAATGGGCTCTGCTGGACCCGGGTCAGAGAGCCCTCTACTGGGATGTGATGCAGGAGAATTATGAGACTGTGAGCTGGCTGGGTAAGGATTCCTGTCTCCGCGGGTATCAGAAGCTGGTTCAGGGTCTCTCATTGTCCCCTGCCTCCCAGTGTCAAGAGTATCAGCCCCAGTAATCCTGGCTCCTGGGTGAGAGACTGTCCCTTCCATGCCCTCACCCAGAGGAAGCAGGTTGAGGGACATAACAATGGTGCTGCTCTTCCTACAGCCAAGGTCTCAAAAGTGCTTCCCTACCATCTTGCCCATGTTGTGCCTTGGCCAGAGGTGTGAATGGAAGGGCCCAGGTAGGAACAGCAGGTACCAGAGTTGTGGGGGTGGGTGCAGCTGCTGTTAATGCCTGCAGGGTCCCCTCATGACAGTGTGCTGAGTCCCTGGAATGAAGGCACAGACTCAGAGTCCTTTCCTGCTTCTGGTAGATTCTTTGCAGCCCAGTGGGGCACCAAAGACAGGCCCAACTGTGCACAAGAGGAAGGCTGGGAAACCACACAAAGGTTGCTGCTGGCAAAGTAGAACCAAGGCTGCAGAGAGGGAACTGAACTGCAGCAACACCCTCCAATGCCAGAGAAGTAACACAGCCAGTCTCCACCCTGGCCAGCCACAGGAACAGCCTGGCACTGCCCTGGGTGGCCATGGGAGCAACGGTTGTTGTGGGCAGCTAGCAGGACCCACCCTGGCACAGACAATCGGGATCAGGAGTGTGGAGCATAGGCAGGTCCTGACGCAACCAGCTAAGGATTCACTTAGCTGCACAGACAACTTCCTCGTTTAAGTAGAGCATCTGAGCCAAAGAGCCTGGTGAGCTGAGCTCCCCAGCCAGGAGCTTTGTAGAACAGATCCCTTGGGGCTCTAGAGCTCTGCTGGGCCCTTTTTCTCCAAGTCTTAGTGATCCGCCATGTGGCAACTGCAGTCTGAGCCCTGTCTGTGGGCTTCAGTGTCAGACTTGCCAGCCCTCACTAGAGCTGTGCTTCTGAGCAGTGTGTTCCTGTCCTGCCCTCGGGTGGGAGGATGGAACAGGTCATCGGAGAGACTTAGCTGTACCCTAGAGAGTGCTGAAGTGCACTCAGCTCCCCTGGGGAATGAGCTGGGCCATTCCTAAGGCGGGGGGGGAGGGGGTGGGAGATGCACTTTTACTGCAAGTGAGTGTGTCCTGGGATCTTGTACAAGCCAGAGTCCAGTCTCTGCAAGGTGAGGAAGTGGGCGACTCCAAGCATAGCTCTGGAAGCAGTAATAGCACAGACCTTAATGAACAAGATCAGCACTTGGTTAATTGCTCCCCATGGAGGATTTCCAGTCTCCAAAGCTTGTGATCTCCTGGCTGGAGCAAAGAGAGGAGCTGCGGGTCCCAGATCTCCAGGGCTGTGAGGAAAGGGAGATCCTCAGACACACCCATAAAGGTGAGCAGTCAGCTAAACTGACTCAGAAACTAATTTCTGTGTCCTTGTAGCTGGTGTCACTTGTGCATTTCCATCAAGTCTCATTCAACCTGTCTTCAACTCCAATCTGAGGGTGCTGGGCAGGGGGGAAGGGTTATAGAGAAGGAGGGTGAACTCAACTCATGACTATTCAACCTTTCCAGCCATTCTTTGGGCATGTGTCAAGGCTCCTTCCCTATTCTGGCCCAATAAATGCAGAAGTGGGGGCCCACAAAAGTACCCCAAAACCTTATATTTCCAGGCTTTGGTATAATACTTCCCCCCCCCCCAAAAAAATCTTAAAAACCTAGATTTTGGGGGTAAAAAATCTGCCACCACCCAAGTAGTGATAAGGAAACCAGGGAGAAACCACTTCAGAAATCTCGGCCCCAAAAGTAAAAACCAGGACACAAAAATCAACCAATACCAGGTTAATAAAAAGAAAAGAGAACTTTTATTGTCACCACAATATTCCTGTTGCAAGCATAATGATTAGATGGAAAAGTCACTAATTAATATACTCATGGGGGAAACCCCCCTCCCCATGGGTTGAGAGCTTAGTTACAAAGGAGAGGAAAACCCATTTTTAAATGCACAGACATCAGATTCCCATTCCCAAACCATAAAACAATAAAACCTAATGGATTTATCTAAACTTTACCCTACTTACAGATAGTAAAGAGTCTTTTCTTGGAGGGAGACATAGTGTCTGTCCCCCTCAGTAGCTGGAGGGAAATTGCTCAGGGACAAATGAGGGAGAAACCAAACTTTCCTTTGTCCTAGTTTGAAATTTCTACCTTGTCAGCCGATGGTCAGGGCAGTGTGTGCGTGTGTGTTACACCCAAGTCTTTAACTGCTGAGACACAAAGTCTCGTTGCAGCGGGCAGACTAGGAGGCTGGAGGGCGCCCCGAAAAATAGTTTAACGTCCGTGACTTTACTGCTAGGACCGAGGTCCCGTCGCAGAGGGTAGCCAAACAGGCTAACAGACGCCCCAGTGTGTACAGGAAGAGCTTATTACACTTCAGATTTTAGCTGCTAGAATTTGTAATTCCTTCGCAGCGGGCAGCCCAGGAAAGGCTGAGAAGTGCCCCAGTGGACCCTGTCACCTGGGAGTGACACAGATCCAAACGCCCAAGCTCTTCCTATAACTGTCCCTTTATGACCGGCTGAAGTTTTTTTTGTTTGTGTTCAGTTCGGGTACAGCAGCACGGGTTTAAGTCAGAAGCTTGACACTCACTGGCTTATTTATAGGAGAAAGAAAGAGAAAAGAAATAAAGAAACTTGGTTCAGTGTGTATATATATATATTTTTTATACGTGAATGAGGGCACCCCACTTGTCCCCAAAGTTTATAGCTAAATCACCTTACCAAAGGTGATTTACAATAGAAATGAAGCAGTTTGACTTTAAGAAAACTATAATAAAGTAACTAACTTACAACAGAGAGACAATTAGAGTGTACACATAAAGAAAACACATTGCAGGTACAATTCTCACCCCTGCGTTCCAGACTTGGCGTGGCCAGCGTCTTTCTCTCAATCCCTCGGGAAGAAGTAGGGCGAGGTTGGGCGTCCCACGGACCTCGGGAGACAATAAATACCTGCCAGCAGGTGTAGGTGATTGGAGCTCAAATGGGGTGG